GTGGTAGCAGATGACAGAACAAGGAGCAATGGTCTCAAGTTGCAGTGGGGGAGGTCTAGGTTGGATATTAGGAAACACTATTTCACTAGGAGGGTGTGAAGGACTGGAATGGGTTACCTAGGGAGGTGGTGGAATCTCCATCCTTAAAGGTTTTTAAGGTCAGGCTTGACAATGCCCTGGCTGGGATGATTTAGTTGGAGATTGGTCCTGCTTTGAGCAGGGGGTGGGCCTAGATGACCTCCTGGGGTCTCTTCCAACCGTAATCTCCTGTGGCTTTTAATCTCAGCCATGGAAAGACAAGGCAGGGGTGCCCCACTGAAGGGGAGTAATACTACCCCTTTACCACTTGGTCACAAGGAAAGTAAGTCTGTCTGCCAATCTGCTAGCATTGGAGAGATGAAAACCTCTCTAACCCCAGCAGGGTCCATCTTGGCCCTGTAGTAACTGAAGGGAGGTGGTAGTTTACCACCCCGTGCACCTTACTTTAGTCATGGAGCTAGGGCCAAACTCCCTTCTAATTATCTAACAAATTGCTGATTTTAACCCTAACCTCTAACCCTCTCCCATGAGGGTTAACCTTAACCCCTGCCCATGAACGGGGGGGGGGGGGGTTGCCCCCTGCAGCATGGGCCCAAGGCTGGTGCAGCTAAGGAGAGGGTGGTCAGGGCTTCTCAGAGGAAATGAGACCCTGGCCTGAGGGTACCTGGTCCATGTAAGGTGCAGAGGGGGTGGGCTGCAGCCTCTCGTAGTGACCAGGGCTGGCTGCGGGCAAGGTGTGAGCTGCAGTTGTCACTGACCCCTCTGCAGTGAGGCAGCGCTCCAGGGGGAAGCCTGGACCAGGGACTGACCAGACGGTAGCAGCAGAATAATTAAGCATCATGGCAAGAGGCTCCAGGTGATGCTGGTGTGGATGGGAGCAGAAGGAGCCCTGAGCGTGTCAGGGGAGAGGCAGCTGTCCGCGTCCCAGGCTAGAGGGAACTGGGGGGGGGTGGGGGGTGCTGCTCTTCCAGAGCCAGGCTCTGCCCAGCTACACAGCAGTTAGGGAGCCGTAGTGGTGTGGGACTTGCTGGCGTAAGGTACGCTGGCCCCACTGTGGCAGCAGGCATGGGAGGGTCGGACTGTCCCTGGAGCCCAGGAGGGAGAGCGCTAGGGGCAGAGGAACGCCGGGGCACCAGCTGGAGGATGGGTGCTGACCCCTCCTGGGCAGGGGAACACAGACCGGCTGCTCTCACGGGGCAGAGTTCATGCCTTCCAAACAATGGGGCATAGGCCTGCTGGAGCTGTGCAGCCGCTAAGGGACAGCGGCAGCACCTGCCAGCCCCCTGGGAGGGAACCTTAGTTGTACGGCAGCAGGAGTTCTCCACTGCCCAACTACCTACGCAGCACCCACCCCCCTGGTCCAGAACAGTCACAGAGCTGCTACAAACAGCCCTCACCCAGGCAGCCTGGCAGAGAACTTACCTCTCAGCAAGGAGCCGAGTGCAGGGGAAGCAGGGGCTGGTGTAGTGCCTGACTGTGATTACCTGCCAGTTACACAGGTGGCCAGGGCTGGTGGGGGAAGCAGTTACATGCTACAGCCACTACCTAGTCATTGCCTTTCCCAGCTAGGGAAGAGAAAGAGCCTGCCTTCTTCCCAGCGCCTGTGGGGCCATGTCAGGAGAGGGGCTATGGGGAGACAGACAGCGTAGGGTGCTTGGGGGGGGGGTGTCAGATGGGCTAGTGGGGGAGGACAGACTGGAGCAGGGGTTGAATGGGAGTGGAGGCAGGTGCAGGGCCACATGGTGATGGGGGAGGAGATGCAGAGGTACAGAGGGTGACTGTGGGGGGGGGGCAGGGACATGAGGTTGGCTGAGTGGGGGCACAGAGCCACATGGCAATGAGAGGAGTGGTGGTGGAGGGACATATGGGGACAGGGGCAGATGTGCCTGACTGAATGGGAGAGGCTAGGGGTCAGCCCAGGGGCTGCATGGGGGAAGCGCCTTAACAGTCCCTCCCTGCCCCCCCCCAAAAAAACCTGTTCCATATTTTGCCCACCCAGACCCAACAACCCTCCAAGTTCACACCCAGGCTCCTTCCCAGCAATCTACTTCCCTCTCCCTCTGCCCCTCCGTTCCCCCTGACACCCCCCTCCCCCCCCAGTCTTTGCACTGCTTCTGGGGTGTGTGGGAAATACAGTTCTGTATTGTAGTTTAAATGAGTTATTACTGAGTTCTGTATTAACATGCTTAGAAAGGAATCTATTTGTCAAAAAACATTTCCTGAATCTTTTGTCATCTATATTTTGAAATAAATGACCAAAAATAATTGAAACTGGTGTGATTACATTGTGTTATTTTGACAAATAAAATGTGCAGAATTTGAAAATACTGGGTGCAGGATTTTTAGGCACAGAATTCCCCCAGGAGTAACTAATGGAGGAGGTCAGAACTAACTCCATACACCCAGTGGTCTGGGCTTTGGCCCCTTCTCTCTCCACACAGGGGAGCACGAGGGGAGAATTCCTGAGCAAACAACAACAGGAGTAAAAGAACCCCAGGGCCATTAATACCAAGCCAGAGGGGAGGACAGACCACAGCCTGGGCCCTGTGGGACATTTCAAATCCCAGTGGTCCTGTTGGGTTCTGGCAAGTGGGCAGGCGCAAGCCGGAATAGGAGCTGCAACCTGGCACACTCAAGGTAGGCGTGTGCCAGGGTCTCACCTGTCCCTCTGCGGCATGAGGATCAGGGACAGGGTGAACCGCAGCAGATACATGCCTGTGCTCACAGGTCCATGAAGGAGCTGCCAACTAATATCCCTGGCGGGCCGTGGGACCAAGGTGGAATACAGGCGGGCCCCCCGGGGTTCCTCACCCTCACTAGACCTTACCACTCAGTGTCCGGGCGGGACACGAGGGTGAGGAAATGGAGAGTATGGAGCACGAGCGTGGTTCAGAAGTGAACCGGCTGCAGGTCACATAGCCGGCTCGGGGTTTCAAATCCCGGCGTGAGCAGGTTAGAGACTCTGCCCCCGCCAGGGAAACATGCACAGGCCCCCCCGGCATTTACCCTTCCTCCTGCTGAGCGTTGGGAGATGGCTGGGGCACCTGCTCTACTGCTGCTCGGGGGGATGGCAAAGAGCCGCAGGGACGATTCGAGGGCTGGAAAACCTGCTTTAGAGTGAGACGACCGAGAAGCTGCATCTTACCCCCGAGAGGATTAAGAGGTGACGAGCATGGCCTACAATGGGGAGACGATTGCTTACAGCTGAGGGGGCTTTCACCTGGCAAGGTCAGAACAAGAACCCAGGGGTAGAAAATGAAGTTAGACAACTTCAGACTGGGAATAAGGTGCAACATTTCCAAATGGAAGGAAAGTAACTATTGGAACAACTGACCTGGAGGACACGGAGAATTCACCATCGCTTGGTGTTTCAATCAAGACTGGACATGTCTAAAGAGAATGCTCTCGCTCCACCAAACACGGGCTTGAGGCAGGAATTACTGGGTGAAACGCTATAGCCCGTATACGCAGATCAGACTAGATCACACACTGCACTCAAACTCGATTACTGCCCCTGAAGCTCCATAGGAGGACTTGAGACTATGCCTGCGTGTTTGGACACGGGTGGAGGGGTTTGGGCATCACCAGGACCTCCTCATTGCTGGGAGGGCAACCCGGGCCACCTGCATCAGCTAAAAAATAGCAAAAAGGTGGCAGCCTTCCCCTGAACAAATTAAGTCCAAGACAGCAGAGTGTCCTGTGGCACCTTATAGACTAACAGATATTGGAGCATGAGGTTTCGTGGGTGAATCCCCACTTCTTCGTATTCACCCACGAAAGCTCATGCTCCAATACATCTGTCAGTCTATAAGGTGCCACAGGACTCTTTGCTGCTTTCACAGATCCAGACTAACATGGCTACCAACTCTCATACTTAAGTCCAAGACATCCACAGTCCTTCCTAGAAGTGCCACGAAACCGTGGCAGTCATCAATTGGAGAAGACAGCACGTGGTAACAGCCTCATCAGGTCTCAATGCTCTGCACCGTCACCCCAAAATCTTCGCTGAACAGAGGTCACGGGGGAAGATCCCTCCCTGCCCTGGAAGGCATTATGAACGTAGCAGGGTCTGTGAACTGATGAAGGGGCTCTGGTAGATCTATCCTCACTGAGGAGATTACGAAGTGCCCGGCTGCTGGGAGGGTTCCTGGACCTGAGGCTTTCTGCTCACTATCACTTGTGGCAGAGAGGTCACCTCTGAAAACTCCCAACACTGAGACCTTCGCTGCTCACCAGCGTCTCCAGCCCCAAACTCTGGAACAGCTAACAGAGGAAGGTTCCCTGAGAAGACAGGTGGTTGAAGAAGGCTTCGCTTTATAGATACCAGAGCGCTCGGCAGCAACAGCTGCCCTCTAGGTGTGCAGCAATGGAGGAGTTTGCAGGAGCAGGTGTTTCCGATTCGAAAGCCAAAAAGCAGCAAGGCCCTGTCAGTGCTGCAGCCCAGCGTCAGGACACCAGCTGTAACCGGTGACTGGTCTGACTGGTCCCTGGACCTAGGCTTCCTCCCGTCCTTGGATTCTGAGGGTGTCTACACAGCTGGCCGGGGCTCAGGCTTCAGGGCTGTAAAATTGCTAGGCAGATGTTTGGGCTGGGGCTGGGGCCCGAGCTTTGCGACCTCACAAGGAAGGAGGGACAAACGGGACGATGCCCAGTGCAAACACTACACACACAGCTCCCTCGGCACAGCCTAGAAAGCAGATAAATACTAACCCATCGGTGAGTGAGCGATGGGACACGCCAGGGGATTCCGGCTCCCTGCCTATGGCAACAGAGGGGAATGAATGATAGCTGGGGGTCAGACAAGGTCCCTCTTCTGGCCTTAAAATGCGAGTTCTCCAGGAGGAGCATTACTATCCTCAACCCTTGCTAGTGGTCACCGCCCGAGACACACTCCCTGCCCAGGATACGCCAAGCCACTCAGCGTCCCGGCCCCAGACCAAGCCACTGGCCATGCTGTCCTGTTAGGGACATAGAAAATAAATTTTATTATCCATTTTAAATTTCTACATTGTAGTTGCATCACTAACCATGATCCTCATGAGAAGAATGCAGCTAACTCTTCACCCTGACAGACAACAAGATCAGCCTTTGGCCATAGCCAGAGAGTTTGAGATCGTTACCGCACAGAGGGGAAAAGGGGACCTATGGTTTTGCTCTTTTTTCATACTCAACAGAAATACAAATAAAATTCCAGAGAGCCCCCCGGTTCCTGCCTTCTGGAAAGCTGCTGCTCGCAGATGGCAGAGTGGGTCAGCGCTTGGAGGAATAGGGCAGGAGCATACGAGGCAAGCGCAGCTGTGGCGGGGCTCGAAGCCAGGGGATGAGAACTGAGTTCAGGGCTGCACTCCAGCTGCAGCAGGAACCGGCGACCCCAGAGCGTTTGGAGAGGAGATGACGGGCGATGCGGCCAAGCTGCCAATGGGCTGGGCTGCAGACATTGAGGTAAGACCTGTGCCAGGGAGAAGGCAGAGTCAGGCCAGCAGAGACAGCAAAAGAACAGTGGCAGGGAGGGAACCGGCCAGAGGCTGCTCCTCATGGCACCCCTACCCCACTCTAGAGCGAAGGCCGGGTCCCCCAGAATGCCAATCCAGCTCCCTGGAGAGGCAGTCAGGTGGGTGGCACAGGAAGGGCAGCCCTGCCCATCTTCCCTGACCGGAGTCATTCCTCCTCAATACCACAGGGCTCCAGAACACAGGACCCTACCTGCCAACATACTGGAGGAGCTGACAGGTGTGTTACTGGCTGACAGTCCAGCTGAGGGGCCCATCCTGGCTGGATCTTTCGCTATGGGATCTGCAAGGGAAAGGGTGACTGAGACGAGCATCTGCACTCACAAGAGACTCCAAACCCACAGAGAGAGCTGGGTACTTTCGGAGGGTCTCCCTCATCATCCCTGATAGCAGCAGCAATGGAGACCACACAGCAGGCCAGTGGGGGATGCTGGCAGGTGGCCACAGACAGGGGAGGAACCGCACTCAGGGTCAAAGGTGAAGCTACACCCAAGGTGGGGGAGGCAAGTAGGAAATCCGGGAGCTTGAACACAGGACACTCCGCTCCCGTAAGAGACGGGGACCGCCAGCTCACTTTGTCAGGCAATGCAGGCAAGCCGCCCCCAGTAACGCTGGATATCAGCAGCCACGAAAGAGAACAGGGGAGACTCATTCCAACAGCAGCAGTGTGCACGGGGCTCGAGACAGGAGGTGACTCACGCCCTGCCCTGGGGAGTTTATCATCTACATCGGACACTGACAACACAGTAGTGTCAGCAAAGGGGAGGGAATCCAGCTCTTGGGGGGCTGGTCTCTCCCCCAGGGAGCAGCATGTCTAAGCCGCTTTGCTTCCCCCAATTCTGATGGCCAGTCGTTTTACAGGTGCGGTGCCTGGGTAGGAACGGGCAGCGCTCGAGCAGGGGGTGGGGAGAAAGGAAAGTGCAGATGGCTGAGCAGGAAGAGAGAAGGGCAGAGGACCAAGAACAGAACCATGGGGTTGCCAGAGGGGCCGAGACGCTGCTCGGCGATAGAGCGGGACCAGGGCGGAGCGGGCTGCAGAGCAGACATCTGCACCAAGGTGAGGTGCGGAAAGGAGGCTGCTGCCCAGACGCTGGCCGTGCTGTGGCCCGAGTGACACTTGTCCAGGAGACCGGGGAGGTCCCAGCAGTGCACAGCTCGAGGCGGGGCAGGGACTGAGATCCGAGGGCTGGGAGAGGGAATGGGGGGCTGCCAGGACAGAATGGCCAGAGGAGAGAGAAGGTGACTCTGGCGTTTCTCCTACGCACAGAAGTACGGGTGCTCCATGGCCTCCCGGGCAGTGAGGCGCGTCTGGTGGTCGTAGCGCAGCAGCTTGTCCAGGAAGTCGAGCGCCTCTGTGCTCACGAGGTGCTGGTTCTCGCTGTGCACGAAGCGCTCCCATCGCTTGCGGGAATGTCTGCAAGGGAGAGACAGCCTGGAACCCGGCCTGCTGCACCCTAGCCCATGCCCCTGGAGCTCCCCCCCCACTAACGCACGCCCCAGCCATCCCAGCAGTGCTGCAAGCCAGCCCCCTACCAAATTCACAGCCATGAAAAACATGTCATCGCCCATGAAATCTGCTCTTGTGTGTGCTTTTACCCTGTACTATGCGGATTTCACAGAGGAGACCAGCATTTCTCAAATCGGGGAGCCTGACCCAAAAGGGAGTGACAAGCGCGGGGGCAAGGTTATTGTAGGGGGCTCGCTGTATTGCCACCCTTACTTCTGCGCTGCCTTCCGAACTGGGAGGCCGGAGAGCGGCGGCTGTTGGCAGGGCGCCCAGCTCCGAAGGTAGTGCTGCCAGCAGCAGCAGCGCAGAAGTGAGGGTAGCAGCCCGGCAAGGCCCCTCCCCACAATAACCTCGCGACACCAACCCTACAATGACAACACCCTGACACTTCAGATGTAAAGAGCTGAAATCATGACATTTATGACTTTTAAAATCCTATGACCATGAAATTGACCAAAATGGACAGTGATTTGGTAGGGCCCCACCCATACAGCATGCATCCTCCACCCCCTGAACTGTCCTGTACCCTGCTTTCCCCACTGATGAGACACCACCTGAAGCGCAGCACCCAGCCAGAAACCCTACCTCCCCGAGAGGGAGGAACCAGCCAGCCTTCCGGCTCTGCTTAATGGGCTCTATGAGCTAAGATCAAGGGTCAGTAGTCTCTTGGCCTATCCAAGGCCCGGATCAAGTGTCTTGATGTTTTTGGTCTTTTGGCCTCGAGATGAAAACCTTGTCTGGGTCTCTTGGACCTTGAAGTAAAAATATTGTCCAAGTTCTCTCTGTTCTTACCAGTTTACTATCTGATATGTCCTTTATCTGAGGACTGTGTATTAAATTGATCAGCTCCTCCGCCTGCTCTTTCTTCAGGTGGCGCTACGCAGTCAGCCACCAGGGGGCAGGGCGGAGAGAGCGGCTACATCAAGCCACTGTTCTGGAGGTGCCCGGTGCAGGGATGGGGTTACCTCAGCCAAATCACCAGCTTTACTTCTGCAGGGAGCTGAGGTCTCATCTGAGGGGCTAGAGAGAACTCCCCTGATCCCTTAACTCCCCTGAACACAGATGCTGCCCTTAGTCAGAATTTGGCCAGGCTCGAGGGCTAACCCATCATCTCGGTGTCCTGAGAGCTTTATTACTAAACGAGTTCTTCTGTGAACCTGCTGCGACAGCCACCTGGAATCATGGGACTGGAGCTTCCAAGTGCAGGGTATTAGAGACACGGATTATAGCCTCTCCTGCCCCCCATGTATGTGACGTGCGGTCTCCCTGAGGCGCGTGGATAGGGAGAGTCCCTGTATTTCTCCTAGACAACGCTTCAACTTTGTCTAACGTACTGAAAGTTTACCAGTGAAATCCAAACCCCAGGGTCTCACGTTTAGGTCTCCCCAGAAAACAGCCGGCACCCCCAGCACCACACTGGGGGATGGTACACGCTCAGAGGGAAGCGTTCCCCCTGCTGAATCACCCTTACCCCTTCCTGAACCCTGTTTTCTGGGGAACGCTCCATTCATGTACTGAACCAGTCTCACTTTATCTTCTTGGATCTTGACACGGTGTGTCTGTCACCGAGATCACGGATTCTGTGACTTTCCAGGACCTCCGTGACTTCCGCAGCGGCCAGAGCGACTGACTCCAGGGCTGCTGGGGCAGTCTCAGGCCACCGCGCGGCCCCCCTCCCCGGAGCACCAGCAGTGGTCCCAGGCCGTGCACCCCCCCCGTCAAGCACTAGTGGCGGTCCTGGGCCACGCGCCACCACCTGCTCGGGGGGAGCACCAGCAGTGGTCCCAGGCCGTGCACCGCCCCCCTGGGCCGCTCCCTGCCCCAGAGCGCCCAAGATTTAGTCAGGGGTATATAGTACAAGTCATGGACAGGTCACGGGCCGTGAATTTTTGTTTACTGCTCGTGACTTTTACTACAAATACCTGTGACTAAATCTTAGCTTTAATCACCACCACGCGCTGCAGCAATAGCTCAAGCCCACCTCACCTGCTGGAGAAAAGGCCACCGAGGGGTCAGTGTGGCCAGTACAGTGAGACGGCTAGTTCCCTGCACTGGGGAGAAGCTAGGTCAGGACATCCTTAGGGGAGATTCAGGGAGGGAAGGAGACAGGAACCCCCAGCCCCTCCCCTGCTGCCCCGGGCACCCACCTGCCTAGGATATCATTGAAGCGGGGATCCAGCTCTATGTTGTACTTGTCAATGTAGTCGTACAGGTCCTCCGTTCCCAGCACTTTCGCGATCCGCACAAGCTGGGGGAGGGGAGAGAGAGAGAACCACTAAATCCAACAGCACAGGGTCACCAGCCACATCTGGGCTGTGGGTGATTTTCCACACCAAGCAAGTCTGGCATCTGTGGTCCAGCGACAGAACGCGAGGCCTATCTGCAGGCCTGCCACCCCTGCAGGCTGGCCTGCACCACTTCACTGCCTGACATTGGGAACCTCCATGCTAAGCGCTGCAGGGACAACACCGAGACAATACACACGGTGGGGAGGGTCTGCTTGGAAACAGGGATCACCCCACCCTTCCGAACAGTCCTCTGGGGGCTGCCCACTAACGGCAGATTTAAGGCACCCCAGTGAAGTGCAATACACCAGGCCCTATTTTCAGAGCCTAAGAGGGGGGTTATAAGGCCCTGGGTCAGCATTCAACAGAGTCAGACCATTAGCATCACTAACGTCAGCACATCCATGTTGACTGCTGCTCCCCCTAACTGAGGAGGAGAGGGGAGCCCAGGCGCGAAGGAACCTGGACCTGTGGAGTATCGGCAGAGGGCAGTGAAAGGTCTCTGCTCAGCTGCTGCTGACAGCAGAGGTGACAGGCCAGCTGAGACGAGTGACGGGTACAGGGGAGGTCCCAGGGCCTGGCTGACAGCAAGGTCTGAAGGACACTATGATTTCAGCTATGTCTGCACGACAGAGCCGAGGCCAGACTAGCCCCCTAGCGCGGACGCCAGCAGGAAGAGATTTCCAGCCAGCGTAGGAATGCCACCCCCGAGCAGCATTAGCTATGCCGACAGCAGCTCTCGTCTGTTGGCAGAGCTGCGATTGTCAGCACAGCTGGGGGTTGCCAGCACAGCTATGGCGCTAGGGCAGTGGTTATTTCACACCCACCAACACAGCCGTGCCAGGATATGTGTACACCAAGCCAGGACTACACCACACACTTACTTTGGGATAACTACATCACTCAGAGGTGTGAAAACTCCCCCCCCCCCAAGCGACGCAGTTACACCGACCTAGCCCCCCGTGTAGACAGCGCTGTGGGTGACACAGCTACCGAAGTGGGGTTAAGCCGATGGAGAGCTGTCTCCCGTCGGCTTAGAGCAGGGGTCTCAAATACGTGGCCCGTGGGGTTATTTTCTGCGGCCCGCGAGCTCCTCACGGCCCCCCCCCCTTCCCCAGTGTTTACCTAGAGTGGCTCCAGCCCGACGCGCACTGGGGGCAGGGCAGGCTCCCTGCCTGCCCCTGTGCCGCTCCGGGAAGCAGCCGGAACTTGGGGGAGGAGGGGCACAAGGGTCTGTGTGTTGCTGTTGCTTCAGGCACCGCCCCCAGCAGCTCCCATTGGCCACGGTTCCCCGTTCCCGGCCCCCGGTGCGCGTCGGGCCAGAGCCCGCCCCCAAACCCTTCCTGCAGCCGAACCCCCTGCCCGGACCCCCTGCCGTACCCCACACCCCTCCTGCACCCCGACCCCCTGCCCTGAGCCCCTGCCACACCCCGCACACCTCCTGCACCCCAACCCCCTGCCGCACTGTGCACCCCGACCCCTGCCCTGAACCCCCTGCCATACCCCGCACCCCTCGTGCACCGCAACCCCCTGCCGCACTGTGCACCCCGACCCCTGCCCTGAACCCCCTGCCATACCCCGCACCCCTCGTGCACCGCAACCCACTGCCCTGAGCCCCCTGCCACACCCCGCACCAGCTCCCTGCCGCACCCAGCACCCCTCACCCCTGCCCCTGAGCCCCTGCCGCACCCTGCACCCTGACCCCCTGCCACACCCCTCACCCCTCCTGCACCCCACACCCCAACTCCCTGCCCTGAGACCCTGCCACACCCCACACCCCTCCTGCACCCCTGGAGGCAGGGAAGGGGCCGAGCGCAGCGGGGGGAGCTGTCAGTAATGCGGCCCTCGGGCCAATGTACTAGTCCTCATGTGGCCCTCATGGTCATTTGAGTTTGAGACCCCTGGGTTAGAGCATCTTCACCAGACACGCTACAGCGGGACAGCTGTGCCAATGCACGCTTGTAGTGTAGACCTGACACGAGCCTTAGACACGCGTGTTTGTCAGCTAAGACCGTAAGGCCCTTTGCTCAAGGATGGCCTTTGTCTGTTCAGATGGAGCAATAACTTCGGAATGCCTTCTCCAGTCCATGTCAGGGAACGTTCTCGGCTCTAGTGGTGTGGGGGGAACGGGGGGGAACACAAAGCCTCTGCCATCTGTTTAACAGAGCCCCAGTCTCGAGCACCTCAGCAATTGTCTATAGCTCAAAGAACCAGTTGATGGCTGCCATTAACACCCCCACCTCAGCTTCGCCCATCCTTCCGACAGTCGCTCGGTGTGTCGACATGTTCATCTCCCAAGAGAAACAACAGTGGGGGGAGCAGTGGGTGCCCCTGGCATGATGGAGGGGTGGAGTTGGGCTGCAGGGAGTCGCTGAAATACAGGGGTATGGGAAGGTGGCACACAGGGAGCTTATGGGGGGACGGAGGGATGCAACAAGACCCTGGTACGTGCAATGAGCTCAGCCTATAGAAGCAACAAAGGCTGCAACCAGGGCTTCATTTGTGTCAGGACTTGCCAGGGCTGGGCCCCGGCGCCACCGGGCCTGGCGGTTCAGGGCCCCGGCGCCGCCGGGCCTGGCGGTTCAGGGCCCCGACGCTGCCGGGCCTGGCGGTTCAGGGCCCCGGCGCCACCAGGCCTGGCGGTTCAGGGCCCCGACGCTGCCGGGCCTGGCGGTTCAGGGCCCCGGCGCCGCCGGGCTTGCAGCTTCATTTATGAAAATAAAACAATTGCTTGAGCCCTGGCCCCCCTTGCATTACAAATTAAGCCCTGGGTGCAACCCCCTAGTTCTCCTCGGGTGACGCGCACACGAGGCTGCATGCACTGGTCGGATATTGCAGGCCTGCTTGTGCAGGTGGTAATTGTCCTGGTTCTCCAGAGGGCCGGTCTGTCGTCCTAGGATTGCTCCGGAGAGCTGGTGGCTCGTCTGTCTGACAGCTGGTCTGTTCTAGGATTGCTGGCAATTGCAGGGCTGCCGGAGCCGATATTTTAGAGGACCGAGCACTGAAGCATTTCTTTAGACCCCTCTCTCATCCACCGAGTCTCACCTGGTTTGTGCAGAAAGACAGCTAGAGGGTAAAGGAGGGGCTGTGTGGGGTCCTGCGCCCCGAGGCTCTCAGCTCACCTGGTCATAGTTATCATGGCCGTGGAAGAAGGGCTCCTTCCGGAAGATCATACTGGCCAACATGCAGCCTAAACTCCACATGTCCAAGCTGTAGTCATACATCTGGAAAAGCCAAGGGGAGAGAGGTGAGAGGCAGCAGCTGCTCCAAGCACCCCTAGCCAGCTACCACTGGCTGAGGAGAGAGATCATGCCCTGCCCTCCAGCACCATCCCTCAGCCTCCGGCAGAGAACGGGGGGTGTCAGTTTGGCTGACAGCTCCAGTTCCAAGATGCCGTTAGCCCAGGGCCCTCAGTCTTTGTTCACGGGCCTGGGTTTCACCTGCATTGCATGGTCGCTCTTCTACCACCTTCCTTTCTCCTCCCAGAGGAGCCCTCCCAGCTGTGTCGCACTCGTTTATATTCATCGCCTCGCTTGTCGTCCCCCCCCCCCAGCATGGCCTCATCCTGGCCAGGTCCCCTCCCCTCCATCCACGGTAGCCCTTTCACCCCTTGGACAGATTCTAGTTTGATGCCACAGTCTCTCTCTTCTCTGAGAATCAGCCCCAATCTCTTAGGGGAATGCTGCACAGACCGTGCCCACCCTGCATGGTGTGTCTGGGGGGACAGAACAGCTGCACACACACACCCCCTGCAGGTGTGTATTTCCACTCCCCACAAGGAGAGTCAGGAACAGGAGCCCTGAGCAGTACAACGGCTGCTCAATCACTGCAAGGACCGACACGACCAGCAGCTGGCACTGTTCACCTGCTGGGCTTCTTAACGTACCTGGTAGTCTACCAAGAGCTCCGGTCCCTTGAAATACCTGGAGGCCACGCGAACATTGTACTCCTGCCCAGGATGATAGAACTCAGCCAGCCCCCAGTCTATCAGTCGCAGCTGCAGTGGGAAAGAGACAGCGCCATTACCGGGCCGGGTCTTGAGTGTCTTGTACACGCAGCACTCTGCCCTTCCCCAGGGGGGTCTCAAGGCCAGGGAGACTCAGGAACCGCAGCAGAAAACCAGAAACTTTGCGTTTTCATCTGCTGTGATAATTGGGCCTACAAATTTACCCTAATTGTGAGCGTACCTGTCAAACCTGTGAGAAAGTTTATAAAGAGTCACAGTAACCTAGAACAACAAGTGCTGATGGGAAAAGGCACAAATGGAGACAAAAACTGAATTAGCACAATCAGAAAGGGCCCCCGGACATAACTCAAGGACAGTGTTAAGATCATGCCTGGTAACCAGAAGGGTGGGACCTGAAATCAGTGAACAAAATTGGAAGGTCAGAAATTAGGCCTAATTGGTGAACAAAATAAGGAGGGGAGGGAAGGGGTTTTCCACCCATTTCTCCCTTTTGGGGTCCTCAAAAGGAGACTTTTTGGGAAAAAGCTGCCATGTGACGCTGACTGCAAGACAAGAGGAGGAGAAAACTAAGCTTCACCGTTCTGGCTGCCGCCCCCACAGGCTACTGGGACCACGGCCGCCTTCATCCCAGCTCCGAGAGATGTCCTGACCAGGCCAGGCCAGAGAAGGGGAAACTGACGACATCACCACCTCCACTGACTCGCTAAATCCCGACCACTTTGTCTCCCCCTCCATCCCATGTCCTTTTCCTTCCCTGCCTTATTTCTTCTCTTTCTTAGCCCTCTCCTTTTGCCTTCTGTCTAATAACGTCTATCATAGTCAGACAAGACTGGATATTTTGTGACCGGAAAGGCAGCTAAATGCAATGCCCTGAACACCCGATGCCAAGTCTCGGAGCAGCTGATCAAACCGCATGCCATGCTTGTGTTTTCCAGCCGCGAGCTTGCAAGTCAGAGTCAGCACCAGAGACACAAGCTGCATTTGCTATCTTTGCTGCTCTTTTCATTCCCCTTGCGTGTGTGTTTGGTGTCATTTATCTTTTCTGAAACGGGATTGGACTTTAGCAGCAGCTCCAGCCCATCTCTACCAACGTCTCTCTTCCCCAAAAGGACAGTCATTACGATCTTCAGCAACTGCTAAGGGGCTGTCAGACCAGGGGCATTTTCCTTCTAAAAATCTCTGTCCAGCTAAAGGGAAAGGGAACAAGGGATGTTATTAAAATGAAAGCTTGACCTAAGGCCTGACATTTCGAATGCTTCAAATGCTTTTCCTTCTTTTCCGTATCCTTCATGAAAGGTTAAAAAGCGCTTTCGTGGGGTGTTTGCCACGGGACTAAGCAGGCAGCTCTCTGCGTACCAAACCCCAAACTCTGTTTAACACTGTTTAGTGCTGGACAGTTTCAGGTCACGTTACACCTTTGACTCTTTGGGCCCATTTATTCCATCTGAATTAACACAACATATCTGAGGATCTCAAAGCACTTTCTAAATGTGAACAAATTCCTAACAAGCTTCACAAACAGCCCCTTGAAGTAGATCAATATTAGCCCCGGAGGGGAAATGACTTGTCCAAAGCCCTGCAGTTAAGTCAGCGGCAGAGCTGGGAAGGTGCTATGGATAAACTGAAGGGAAGTTGACCAGGAACGAAGTGACCGGAACAGGTGGCCTCACCTCCCCAGCAGAAGGAAGTGGAAGAACATGGCCCCTGAGCGGTCACGTAGAGAGAGAACATTCTTTCCCTGCTAATGATCACAGGAGTTTGCTGGCAATAGGTGGTTTTGCCCTTGACACACACCACACGAGAATGACCAGCACAGCTCTCTGAGCAACCTCCCTTTGAAGTCCTGGGGTTTTTCCAGGGTCCCAGATGGCAGCTCACTACAAAGGCTCTGGGAGCAATCTAAAGTTACATTTACAAGCCCAAGTTACTGACAAACAGGTGGCAAATAAAACCAAGTTTACTAGATACAGGTGTCGTTTTTATGGGCACCTGTATCCCCAGACAAACAGCAGTGTTGGGGGACAGCTGCAAATTCATCACCCCAGGCTGGAGCCTGCTGGGGACGAGCTACACCCAGGGCTGGTCAGTCTCTACCCAGGCAAGGCTCCACTTGAACCCACTCGCTGCCTGCATCCCACCAGCCCCCGGTGCCCACTGCTGCCATGCCCTCACTGTAGGAAGTGGGAGCGAGAGACTGGAACATAGCACAGGGGAAAGGTGCCCCAAGCGGCATTAACGCAACCGCCTGGCCAAGGAAGCAATGGTATTAAAAGCACAACTGAGCAAACTGCCGCTAAGTTTCCGATCAGGATAGGCACGGTGTGTAAATGAGCTGAGGGAGCACAACGGAGAAGCATGAACAAATGTGCACACGGGTGTGCAAGAGGAGGACTCTTTGCTCTGCTATTTTCAGGAGGTTTCTTTATTGGGACTTGGAAGCCGAGTTTGGAAGACACGGCTAATGGTCTCTGCTCACTGCTGCATCAGATACCGTGGGCGGGGGGCCTAGAAAGCAGCAGCTTCTTCCCTCATCACACTACATCAAACACACACAACTGAGCTATCCGGTGCGGCTCGGCAGCGTGTCTCCCACCCGCCCTAGGGCAGAGGCTGGGAAAGAAAGGCACGTTCAATTGCGGGATTTTTGGGGGCCAGCAGTCAAGCCAGCCTGTGGCAGGCCCCACCTTACCTTTCTGTGCTCATGGTCTATCATGACATTGTGTGGCTTGACGTCTCGATGCATGACCCCCATACTGTGACAGTAATCCAGTGCCTGGGAACAGAACAGCAGAGGCAGGGTCATGTCACTGACTAGCAAGTCCCCCGCGTACCTAGGCACTGTCAGATGTAAGGTTTGGCAGCAGCTGTACCCGAGGGAGAGATTCACAGGCTGTGCTGGGAATCAGCCATGCAACCGCAGGAACTCCATGGGCTGAACACCCAGGCAGCAGGGAGAGCGGTCGCCGCTTCGCTGACATGGACCCCGAGATCTGAGCCCACACATTCTCCGGGCTCTGTTCAGGTGCAGGCCCTTTTACTGCCCCAGATAGGCCCATAGGATTGATCACCCAACCAATATACTCTCCTGCTTCCGACCGCTCTGCATTCCCGCGGGAGGAAAACCAGGGACCTTTGTTACCAAACTCACCCAGAGGAGGGCTCTGCCAGGACGCTCTATTAAACTTCCCAGGAGCCGCAGGCAGCATTAAAGACTATCCAGTGGTCTGCACATTGGCTACCCCTGCTGCACTGATGCCAGTTCCACGCCAGCCCTGATCTCTGGTTTCCCAAGCTGACCCTTGCCCAGGGGTTAGTGCTCTGCAGCACCATGCAAAACTCCCCGGCCCAATTCTCAGTCGCAGACTCTCCGTGGTCCGGCCCGGTGCCGAGGGTGAGACCTAGGGTTCATCTCAAGCCCACGCATTCCGATAGCCCTGTGACTAAGGAGCTGCACCATGGGATTCTGGCCAGTCCGTGGCTGGAAGGGGGATGGTTGTAAAGCGGGACCAGGTGACACCTAGATAAAGCGCTGATACCCCCTCTTCTCGCTGGCCAGTCAGCTTAGAAAACCCCATGCTGGCTGCTTGCATCTAACGCCAACCCTGATACTGGGCCTGAAGTGGGGAAGGAGGATGGATGGCTTCTCAGGGGCACAGGACCTCAACGAGTCAGTGACTTTGGGATCTCCACATCCCAAGACATTGTCCCACTCACCAACAAGCTACAGCCTGCTTCCTCTGCCCTGGCTGGGAGTCACCTGTGAGCTCCTTGTGCTGCTGCTTAGGAAGCCATCCCATGTGGCTAGCAGGCACCAACTCAGGGGGGTTGTGTAGCCAACTGGCTGCTGTGCCCTGCCTCCTGCCTTTGCATTCTGACTACAAGGAGGAGACGTAGCACCTCACCCCCGATCACTGCACCCACCCATCACCTGAGGAAGACAGGCGAGGTCCCTGCCCTCTGTCTTGGGGCACTCACCTTTAGGATTTCATACATGTAGAATCGAATGTCGAAGTCAGATAGCGTCTGGTACAATTGCTGCAAGCAAGGAATCGGAGCGCAGTTAATGAAATGCCCCACACACTTGTGCACAGCATCTTATTGTCTCCTGCAATGCTCTGGGGCAGTGCCATGCACGTCTACTGGCACAACAGCACCGCTGCACACCATGTCGGGGCTCGCTAGCCCCCTGCACAACAGAGGAGGACTTTTGTGCTCAGACCTCAGGCCCTGAAACTCCAGGCCTGGCCAACCAACTGGGAATGCTCCTGGAAGGGGCCCAGGGGGAGAAGCGGTCTCGAAGGACTGGGGCCGGACTCAGGCCATTCTGGGCTCTTAAGATTGTAACCCTCACTCTGGTAGGTCGCTAGTGCACAGCCCACAGTGTCTGCTTTGTGCCCCAACTGTTACAACCAGGAACCATCAATACCAACAGAAAAGGAGCTGAACCCACAAACTGGTCAACCCCACAACCCACAGAGGTCTTCATCCGCACTCCACTACTCCCACATCGTGAAATGGAGGTAGAGCAGATGAACCAAGATGCTCCTGTCCTAGGCCTAGGAACAGGGAGAACTTGGTGCTACTAGATCCTGGCACTGAGGATGGAGCTAGACCAGCAGGGCTCAAACGTCATTGCACTGTGACCCCTTCTGATAACAAAAATTACCACATGACCCCAGGACAGGGGGACCAAAGCCCTGGGTGGTCAAGGGGGCAAAGCTGAGGCCCAAGGACTTCTGCCCTGGGCGGGGAGCATGTAACCTTAGCCCAGGGCAGTGGGGCTCGAGCTTCGGCTTCAGCCCCAGGCAGTGGGGCTTGGGCCCTAGACCCCAGCAAGTCTAACATCAGCCTCGGTGACCCCCGGTTGTGACCCACTTTGGGGTCCCGACCCACAGTTTGAGAACCCCTGAGCTAGACGAACCGGGATGGAAAAAGAATGCCTGGCAGTGCTCAAACAACCCACCGAGGGCAGACGGCACCTGTCTGAGACAGGTCAGAGATGAGCCCCTTGGCACACAGGAAACAGGGATCACAGGAGAGGGGGGCTGACTGGAACATCAAGGAGACACTGGGGTTAAAGTGTACTTACCACCGAAAATACCACCACTGGGGACAGAGAGGGGCCTAATCACTACGTCATTTACTCTCACAACAAGAACTAATAATCATAGAATCACAGGATTGGAAGAGACCTCAGGAGGTCGTCTAGTCCCACCCCCTGCTCATACACTCTCGTTTTCCCATTGTGAACATGCTGGAGGCCTTGTCCCCAGGCCCAAATATGCATTTGGCCAACTGCATTAGGTGGCTGTCAGGTTCCTCTAAAGCATCACGTACAGGCCACTGCCAGAGACAGGATATGGGGCGGAGGTAGGCTACCCCCGAACAGTGTGTCAGAGCTGGAGGGAAGCTCAATCCAGTGCAGCAATTCCTATCCCGTGCAGCAAGCTCTTGGGTTCCTCCCCAGATTTTAAGCCCCTTCAGGCAACAGCACCAGCACGTCCCTGAGGGAGTCTGCGATGACTCCAGGTCACAGTCAGCACTTCCCAGCCCATCTGCACTGAAGGGGGACAGTAACCATTCCTGATGGGCTCGGCAGCGGAGGCCCACTCAAGGCCTTCCCTCCCCTGCATGGGGCAACGAGGGGCTGGGCACAGCAGTTATGCGCTGGGCAGGAGTCTGAGCATGACCTGGTGGCGCTCACTCACCTTGAAGTCCGTGTTGTTGACATGTTCGAAGACCAGGGCAGGCGTGCGAGACTGCGCGGCAGCACCAGCCATTCCAAGGCAGAGAAAGAAAAGAAAGTGGTTTAGTCCGGCACACAGATAACAGAGCCAGCCAGGGGTTTAGCAAGGCAGATACAAGAAGCAGGTCTCTTGCCCTGTTGAGGACCCAGAACCCTTCGCGCTCCCTCTCAAAGGGTCCTGAGGAGCTTCACAAGCAGCATCACACTGCACACAGCTACCCTAGAGAACTGGACTGGAAAGCCACCTGGGCCAGGATCATCTCCAGTTGTGTGTGTAGTGCCCCACGTTACGGTATTGCACATACCATAACACAAAAAGCACATGCATACATATATATTAATCACTTCACCAACCAATGAAATGCAGCCACCTCTGGGGTGAGACGCAGCAAGTATTTAACAGCAATACTACAAAGCAGTTTAGGGCAGGAATGAAGGAAAACGCTGCATCCAGCTGAGGTCTGATTTATCCCCGTGGTGCCGACCAGCACTGCTGGGGTTCTGGTACAGCTCTGCTCCGAGAAGCCACCTGGTGGCTCCCAGATTTGTCCTCTCTTGGCAGCTTCCAGATCCTGCATGCTCAGCTCTCACGTGAAAAAACAATAGTTTGGTTGCCAGAAGCACAAATTTCCCTTCGACTCTCGAACGCCAGCCAGACTCCTCCTGTTTCCCACATCACCACTGGGACTAAGGACCTGCACCAGGCAGAATGGAACCCGGCTGACTCCCAGAGTTGCCCCGGCTCGGAGGGGACGGGAGGAGTAAATGCCCCTTTGGCCAGTACCAGAGGCAGGTGTGACAGACAAAGGAGGCTGCCACGTGGCATAAGAAGTGAACCGTCATTATATTGTCACTTTTCTCACCGTAACCTCACTCTAAGTCACTGTGCTGGGACTGGCCCAGTGTCCCCTACTGCAACGTGCTACGTTAAAGGGGTCAGTCCAGGAGCAAGCGTCCGGGTTCAAGACAACCAGCCCGCCTATAAAACAACCCAGAGCCAGGGCCTGAAGAGTCCCGTTTCTCCACCTCCTCCACCATTCCCCGCAAAGCCGTCAGTCCAGCCCGTTCCAAGCGTGGGAAGGGCCACCTAGAGCACAGACAGAAGCTCTGGGGTGCAGCACCCTATAGCCTCGCTTGTCCATTAACAAACTAGAAGGGCTCCTAAGGGGGCACGTTCAAAATCAGCTTGTTGTTGTCCTGCAGGTTGGTGGGGAAGGCAGACTGCCCCACAGCAGAGTCGCCTGCCAGTGACCCACAAAACGGGGCAAGAGAGCAGATGTTCCAATGGGGAAACATCTCAGTTAATAGAAGGTGACCTGGGGATACCCCCGACACACAACCTCCTTTACCTGGGCGCTAGAGGGCTGCACGCAGGCCCCGCCTGTACCCCACGGCTCCTGAATCAGCCAGGGGGATCACTGCCGCAGTGCAAGAGGCCTCCCCCCCCCCCCCCCCCGACCGGGCTGAACATATGGCCCTGCCCATGACTGTGTGGGAGGCGTGCCGCTGCCGCAAGGCCCAGAAACTTGTTCTGTAGGAATCACTGGTGAGACCATAGCTGGCATTAGTCAGCGCAGACTAGGCCACTACGGTTCCTTCTCGTCTTTGACCCCTTCCCTTCCAGCCCACACTTCTTACCACGGGGTCTTTGACTATATCTAGCAGGCTGATAATATTGGGGCCTCCTCGGAGATTCTCCAGGATCTTAATCTCACGCTTGATTTTCTTCTTTTTTACTGGCTACAAAAGAGAAAATCAGAGTGTTACCACCACGCATTCCTCACTGGACCCGTTTGCCACAATGACTTGGGCGACAGCATGGAAACCCCACATGGAGACAGCAGCCCCCATCCCGTCTCTGAAGTGCTGCTCCGTCTGCGTTCCTGCCCACGGAGACGGGAGCTTCCGTAACACACTGTGTGTGGTGTGGAGCCATTGGAACGCTGAGCTGCCAGCAGGCTTCATCTCCTGGGAGCGAGGACACAGTTACGGTTTCTCCTCCGGGCGGTGGGGGACCACGCTGGTCTCAGCTTGTGGATTTCATGCTGGATTTACAGGGCTGCTGTGACCCACTGAAATGGCAATGCTCACCCGCCACGGCATTCATGAACCCCACACACAGCACCACTGAGATGCAGCCATCTCGGGGGCGGAGAGCGGATGTTTCAGCCAAGTATATCATAAGAACGGCCATACAGGGTCAGCCCAAAGGTCCATCTAGCCCAGTATCCTGTCTGCTGCCAGTGGCCAATGCCAGGCGCCCCAGAGGGAATGAACAGAACAGGGAATCATCAAGTGATCCATCCCCTGTCGCCCATTCCCAGGTTTGGGCAAACAGAGGCTAGAGACACCATCCCTGCCCATCCTGGCTAATAGCCATCGATAGACCTATCCCCTGTGAACTTCTCTAGTTCCTTTTTAACCCTATTATAGTCATGGCCAACCCCTGCTCCTATAGTTTTAGATCGCAGCAACAACAAGGCCTGGTGCCTCTGGTACGAAAGTCGTGGCTGTTTGTGTGTGTGGGAGTGTCCCGCAGCACCTCCAAGTGGGGCAGAGACTGGCATGTGTTAATAGACCCCCCCGCCTCAGAAGCTCTGACAGTGAGTGGGGTAAGTGGATGGTGGAGAAGAGGGGCAAAGAGGGAACATGTGGAGTTTCAATATGAGGAGCAGCACAGAGACTGTGTGCTGATCTGCCTGCCCCTCCCCCGGACTCTTCGTCACATCAGCAATCTGAACTGCATGTCGGGAGAGGAGCACAGGACAGCCAATGCAAAGTTCTCCCTTCCTGTCTCGTGACTACAGCCTTCCACAGCAAAGGATCCGTCACCCAAAGATCAGTAGCACATACCTCAAATGCACAGGGACAGGGTGAACAGGGAGCACCGGGTGGGGAACAGGATGGGGATCACAGCCCCCCGCCCGACATACCCACCTTAAGGATTTTCACCACAACTTTCTCGTTGTTGGTGATGTTGATGGCTTCAAAGACTTCACTGTATTTGCCGCGGCCAAGTTTCCGCACAAGCTGGTAGTCGTCTTGGTTCCTGTACAAGGAGAAAAGAAAATGGAGGAGGAGAACCAGGTCAGAACTGAACACTGGGTCATTTTCAGAGAGCAGCTCTCCCAAAGACTCTGGTGAGGGCAAGAGAACGGGGAGCTGTTCTGTAGCATACAGGGCTCCACAAACGTACCCACAAATCCTAGACCTGGTGAAAAGGAATACTGCTCTCTTGTGTACCTCAAAAGGACTCAGAGGGCTTTATGATTAGATACTAACAGAGAACACTTCACTCACCATCTCTGGGATGGGACACAACAGCTGCTTAACAGAGTGTAAGTTCACAAGTGTGTGTGCAGATTATTGCTGGAAGAATGCAGCTATCCAGATGGAATCCACCCAGAACCCTGAGGGTAAACACTTCCATGCTGAAGAAGATGGTTTTGGCGATTCAAAAACTTGGCACTCTTCCCTTTGAGGAGCAGATGGAGTCAGGGCTCCTTGAGTCTATTGCCAGCTCCGCCCTGAGTAGCCCTGAGCAATACGTCCCTTCTTTGTGCCTCAGTTTTGCCATCTACAAAATGGATAGTTGTGGGTTGTGAGGATTAATTCATTCCAAACTCCAACATCTACTGATGGAAGGCACTAAAGGAGGGCAAAAATTTACATAATACTTGAAATGCAATGCTGCCCTCCGCTGGGCAGGGACCTGTCCATTTCTATTTGTCTATAAAGGGTCATGCACGTCTAGAGCACTGTAAAAATAATCTTAACAAGGGGGAATCAGGAAATAATAGGATAAATACCACCCAGAGAACCTGCATTTAAGTTAAATCATCAGGGCCTCATGAAATTCACCTGAGAGGACTAAAGGAACTAGCAAAGTATTGGTAATTATTTCTGGCAGGTTAGGGAGGAAAGGCATAAAGCCTCCAAAGATCTGATAAGAGTAAACAAGGTGGGGAAAGAAAGGGAACAACAGGCGGAGAGTTTGACTTCATACTCAAGGTTTGGGGGCTGGCTCAGGAGATTAGGAATTGGACAAGGAACCTTTCATCTCCAGGTCACCGGTCCCAGTCCAGGCTGTTGAGTGGCCTGTATATGAAATGAGTTTGGGGCAGGGGGTATCTCTCAGTCCCGTTCCCAGTGGACAGAACAAACTCAACACTGCAGTTAGCGCTGACTGTTGCCAGTCCCAGCACAGCAGAGTGGGCCTGGTACTAGCTCACATGAAGTTTTAAGTGAAAAGCTAAAGCTTATTTTACAGATGTACCTATAGTCACTAGCACTCAAAGAGCAGCCCACTTCCGCAGCGGTGAGAAGTCCCACATTCCAAACCGGCCACCACACAAGACTGGCAAAGACCCTCTCCACACGAGGGTCATTTGTCAAGCTTACCACCAGCTCCACTGATGCTAGGAGCATTGGGAACCCTGCTATAGGGGCATTGCTGGCTGCCAAGAGCATTTTCAGTGCTGTCATTTAGATCTGCTCTGAGTGGAGTTACAGGACTTGGTGTTGAAAACGAGAGAGGCCACAGGATGCCTATCTATACCTAAAGCTAACATGTATCAGAGGGGTAGCCGTGTTAGTCTGGATCTGTAAAAAGCAACAAACAGTCCTGTGGCACCTTATAGACTAACAGATGTATTGGAGCACAAGCTTTAGTGGGTGAATACCCACTTCGTCAGACGCATGTAGTGGAAATTTCCAGAGGCAGGTATAAAAAATTTCCACTAAATGCGTCTGACGAAGTGGGTATTCACCCACGAAAGCTCATGCTCCAATACATCTGTTAGTCTATAAGGTGCCACAGGACTCTTTGTCGCTTCCTAAAGCTAACAGTCAGTTCAGCTCCACGGGTGTTAGCAATGATGGGAAAGTACCCAAAGCACAGACAGAGCTGAAGAGACCAGCTCAGAGCAATAGGGGCTTCAAAATTTGTTTGGAAAATGATTCACTATAACTTGATTTTAATCTTCTTTTAAATTATAAAAACTTACCAAAGCCCGAATCCTCAGTAGCTCCCCCTACAGACTATGCTCTGCAAATCCTAATCACAGCATTAGGCACTTAGGCCAATGTTTTCAAACGCAGGTGCTTAAAGCTGGGCACCACAATGAAAATGGCTGAATTTTCAGAGGTGTTGGGGACCTGGAATGGCAGGCGCTCAGTACCTCTGAAAGGGAAGCCACTTATTGCTAGTGTTCCATCTACTAGGCAGTGTGACCTAGTAGAGCACTCACTGGACCAGGCCTCTGGAGACCTGGGTTCTTCACCCCGCTTTGCCACTGGCTTGCTACTCGGGCAAGCCAAAGCCCTTCTCTGTGCCTCAGTTTCCCCATCTCTAAAAAGGGGGTAATGATAACGATACAAGATGCCTCCTTTCTAAAGTGCTTTGAGATCTAGTGATGGTAAGAGCTAGGCAAGAGCTAGGTATCATTATTATTAAGGTGCTCAAATATATATTTCAGAAGCCTGACTTTAGCCCCATTTGACAATATGGGCCATTGATATTACGGTGCTAAGCAACCTAGAAATACCACAAGCCAGTAAAGAAGTCCCTGGGGTTTCCCTGACCCCAGTCATACCCCCATTCCACGACGTGCGACTCGTAGTCCCAGTACTCGCGGGGTCTCTGAGTGTTCACATCTGCATAGACCCTGGCTCGACTCGGCGCTGGGCCCGACATGCTTCCACAGACAGGGGATCAGCACCTCAATCACCCTAAAAAATACAAACACAAACCAATGGAAATGAGACTCAAACTCACCAGCAAAAGGGAAAGGGAGGATAAGCATGCAAATTGCTGAGCAAACATGAATGGGAAGGGGTCTATGGAAAAAGGAGCTGGGCGAGCACACACAGGACTAGCAGTGGCTTGTATTTCCAGGACAGAGGCTAGACACATTCCTAGCTGCCAGGGGCACTGTGCTCCAGCTCTACTCCAACACAGGGAAGAACCAGCCTCTCACCCCGTTCAGGTCAGCAGCACGTGTGCAAGAGAATGAAGGAAGCCCACACTCCCACCGCTGGCCAGATTCCGGCCTCCTCTTGGTGACAAGACCTCGGGTGTGCAGAACTGACAGCCCTTTTAGCCTCTGGCAGCACACACGCTCCCTCCTCCCTGCCCCAAGCACACTCCCTATCCACCCAGGGGGCCAATTAAGCTAACAGCACAAACCTCCCTCCACTGGTCTCCAGTTTCAAGAGCTCCACAGCAATTAAGAACAAGCGCCACCAAATCCTCACTGAACCAGTTAGCTGCCATCTGAAAGCTGCTTCCCCAAAGGAGAAAGCCAGAAAAAGGAAGAGCCTAGAAAAAGCTGTCAGTACCGAGCCAGGATACAAACCACCAGCAGAGGTAAAACTCAGATCTGTCTCAAGACTGGAAGGTTTACATCAGGGGCAGCTCCCAAACCGCCCAACCCAGAGCACTCCTGGCAAAGGCCACATCTTCTGGGCCTAAAATACAGCAGGTCACAGCCATCCATCCTGTCTGAGAGAGGACGGCCTGCAGAGACAAACCCCATGAAATGCTCCATTACAGCCTCAGCAACCCAAATGGCATGTACTGCCTGAGCAATTCTCACGTCTCCTCACTCTGCTTAGCCGGCGTGATCCTCCACAAGGAGCCGACCTTCCTGCTCAGGCACCTCTGGTAACTGGTCCCTTCTCCAGGCAGGAAGGGAGGCCAGAATGGCCTCAGGGCAGGTCACCACACCCTTTCCTCAGGGTCAGGGTGAGCAGTTCCTTGACTCTCCCCAGGCTCGCTGTGCCAGGGCACATCTGGCTTAAATGCAGCCTCCTGTGTGCTGACAATCCAGCACAACCAGGAATAATTACGGTGCCCACTGGCACAAGACCCAGGAACAAGGGGTTTCAGTGAAAGGGGCAGAACCATGGCTCTAGGCAATGAGGAGGGACGACAGGTCACATTCTTTCAGAACTCACAAATGGACTCCGAGTGGGGTACCCAAACATCGCTATACTAGGGACTCCACTGGCGCGTTGCCAGGAGCTCAAAGCCCCGACGGAAACATCCATAAACAGGGACACAGGGACCAAGGCAACTACAGATCCAGGCACCCAAAGGATGAAGAGCGAACTCTGCACGCGGAGACCTGCCGACTCTCCTCCCGCCAAGCAGGGGGGTAAAGAGCAATGATTTAAAAACAAAATCGGACTTTTTTTATTTAAATTGAATTTTTTTGATAAAATGCTTTTTGAGGAAAAAACCTATCTAAAGATAGTTTTAATTAAGACACATTATAACTCAGCGATATCTCATCATGGAATAGGGATTATAAATTCTAATTCTACAGCATGAGACAATATATTCATGTCATGTTTACGAAAAGTTTTGTAAATAAATTCCAATAGTTCATGGATTAGAGACTCAATCTTGTGGGGTTCCAGGGGCTTCTGTATAGATTCTTTAGGTTAATCTTTCGATCTACCCAATGGGACTCAGTGCTCAGTCTAGAACAGACATGGGCAAACTACGGCCCTCGAGCCCCCGGCCCCTCCCAAGCTGTTCCCCCTCCCCCGTAGCCTCACCTCGCCATGTCACGGGGGCGCACTGGCCAGGAGAGCGGGGAGGGAGACTCACCCGCAGCCTCACCTCGCCGTGTCACGGGGGCGCACTGGCCAGGAGAGCGGGGAGGGAGGCTCACCCGCAGCCTCACCTCGCCGTGCCGCGGGGACGCGCTGGCCAGGAGAGCGGGGAGGGAGACTCACCCGCAGCCTCCAGGGAGCAGGCAGGCAGTGCGGGTGGCGGAAGCGCCGCGAACGCGGGCAGAGGACTCAGGACGACACCGGGCGGCCGTGCAGCCAGCCGGACAGAAGCTGCGCTTTGAAGGGGAAACCGCAGCTTCTCTCCAGCTGCATGGCTGTCCCTACTCCGCCTGAGTCCTCCGCCCGCGTTCGCAGGGACGCATTCGGAAGGGGGCCAGGAGGGGGTTCGACAGGGGGTGGGGTCCCAGGGGGCCAGTTAGGGGCAGGGCGTCCTGAGAGGGGGCGGTCAGGGGACAAGAAGCAGGGGGGGTTGGATAGGGGGTGGGGTCCCGGGGCCTGGCTGGGGGCAGGGATGTGGATAGAGGTCGGGGCAGTCCAGGGACAGGGATCGGGGGGGTTGGATAGGGTGTGGGGTGCTGGCGGGCTTGTCAGGGGGCAGGAGGAGTTGGATAGGAGGTGGGGTCCCGGGGGCATGTCAGGGGGCAGGGGTGTGGATAGGGGTCAGGGCAGTCAGGGGACAGGCAGCAGGAGGGGTTGGATAGGAGGTGGGGTACCAGGGGGGCAGTTAGGGGACAAGGAGCAGGGGGGTTGGATAGGGGGTGTTGGGTCCCAGGGGGGCGATTAGGGGACAAGGAGCAGGGGGGGTTGGGTAAGGGAGCAGGGGCCCTGGGGGGACAGTCAGGGAGGAGGGGGCGGTTGGATGGGGTGGAGGTTCTGGGGTGGTGGTCAGGGGATGGGGAACAGGGAGGGTTGGGAGTGGAAGTCCCAGGGGACCTGTCGGGAGGCGGGGATGTGGATAGGGGTTGGGAGGGCAGTCAGGGGACAGGGGGGTTGAATAAGGTGGTGGGATGCCGGGGGGGGGGGGAAGCAGTCAGGAGGCGGGGCGGTGTGTGGATAGGGGTCGGGGCGGTCAGGGGACAAGGAGCAGGGAGGTTAGATGGGTCGGAAGTTCTGAAGAGGGCAGTTAGGGGGTGGGAAATAGAAGGGGTCGGATATGGGGTGGGGGCCAGGCTGTTTGGGGAGGCACAGCCTTCCCTACCCGGCCCTCCATACAGTTTTGGAACCCCGATGTGGCCCTCGGGCCAAAAAGTTTGCGCCACCCCCCCAGTCTAGAAGATACAATCAGAGATGCTTAGTATTGCAGTTCTCAAACTGTGGATTTGTGTCTCCAGAGGTAACAGGCTTGTTAACAGCAAAAATATTTTTAATTAAATAAATAACTAAATAAATAACATATAGAGGCAGGATGGATTTGATTTCAATCAATTTTATTTAAATCACGATTTAAATCACTAGTCACGAAGACTCAATTTAATCATGGATTTCCACATAGAAGTGCATTCTTGTTGATTATACCCTTAATACATATCCTTCACAACTCAGAGATAGATGTAGGTTACATTTTTAGAAGGTACACACTATATATTTTTAAGTGATTTATTTTGAAAACTTTTCAGATTAGTTTTACAGCTATATCAGAAAATGAATGATTGTTTGGTTATTTCATTTACCAAAGGTAATTGAAACAAATATTTATGAAGTCATTGGGAGGTGAACTCTCTCCAATTCAACAGGTTAGTCATTAATATTTGGAGGATTTTCTTGCCATGCTGGATTAGGAGGGGAACATCACCAGACAGACATTTAAATTGTTTTATTTAACTAGAACAATAATGTTATATATTCTGGATTTTTTTCCCTTCAACAGCAAACATATAATATTTTAACAAAACAAGCATATGAATTTCTGAATTTAAACATTCAAGTTTTTTAAAATCAGGTTTGTTTTTGTTAAAATTGTTTTAAAGTAAAATAGTTAAATGAAATATTAAAAAAGAATTAAATTTACTATGTCAGCCAGGTCAACATAAGAAACTTAATATATTGGCTTCTGCAGCTAACTCAGTCGTCTTCACCTTCATTTTCCTGTTTGTTCATAATCTGGAAAAGAAAAACAAGCTTTCCTGCTTTGTCAGGTCCCAAACAACTTCTCAATTTGGAATGAATTAGTCCAAAGGAAGAAAATATTCTTTCTACACCTGCAGAAGAAGCTACTGCTGTTAAAAGTGAGATTATCACTTCAACAGTCTCTGAATCCAAGTGTTTAAGTGACTTCCACCAGTTCACTGATGTGACTTTCTTTAAAACATCATCAGCAAACATATATTTCTTGAATGGTTCACCCTTAGCTCTGAAGTTTATTATAGTCGGCATTAAGGAGAGATGGTTGTTGGATGTCCATGTCATAGCCAACTCCTCTTCTTCACCAGTTAAGGTTTGACCCTGGTACCGAGTGTCACGGAGTATTGGGGAACTCAGGGCCCTGCACCCCCGGCTCCCTGCGATTCACCATGACTCTCAGCCAGCCAGTAAAGCAGAAGGTTTATTTGGATGACAGGAATACAGTCCAAGACAGGTCTTGCAGGCACTGACTACAGGGACCCCCTCAGTTAGGTCCATCTTGGGGTCCCCGGGCATCCCAGCCCAGCCCCCCTTGGGAGGTCAGAGCCATCTCTGCCTCCCAGCCATCTCTCCAGCCTGCTTCCAACCCACTGCCTTCAGCGACCCCTCCCACAGCCTTTGTTCAGTTTCCCGGGCTCAGGAGTCACCTGGCCTTCAGCCCCTTCCTGGGTTCTCATGTTACACACTCAGGAATGCGCCCCCGGGCAGATCCCATCCTCCAATGCAGACTATCCCAGCACACTCCCCTGTCAGCATTCACAGACCACAGTGAGAACAGGCCCAGTTCGTCACACCGAGTATTGAGAATATTTGCAAGAAAATGAGCTGGAGATGGTGCTTGTCCCATTGGCTTTTTTTAATGCTTGTAATGTAACTCTGTCATTGCATATTTCTCTCGTTAAGATCTCACTCAGTTCCTTCCAGATTTCAACAGCATCAGCAATAAAACAGCTATTTCCCTGCATTTTGTTCAAGGCTACAGAAATAGGCTTCAGGGCACTCAGCATGTGTTCGACATTTCTCTTAAG